GGGGGGGGGGGGGGGGGGGGGGGGGGGGGGGGGGGGGGGGGGGGGGGCATCGTGACCGCGGCAGACGCGCTGTCTGACAAATGGTTCTCATGGGGCGATAAAATCGGAGGTGGCCAAGAGATAGAAATCGACGGCGGGCATTTCTCGTGACAGCATCTCGCACGACCCTAAACCATCGTCCGGGTGACACGGCGAAGGCGTTACACTTCACCTCGGGGTAGACACATCATATACCAGGAGCACCCCTGCCGCTTCGCATCCTTCAAAGAACATGCCTCGAGCAAGGGCGGCGTCGGGTCTTCCGCCCACGTCCCAGAACTCGATGGACCGGTTCGGGTGCCCTCCTGCGAGCAGCTGCATGTGGGCAAGAAGTGTTTTGTAATGAGTACCAGCTGGCATCACCGATACCTTTAGTCATACTTTCAGAGGAAGCTGTGTGGTGTGTTATCCAACGCTTTGAGGTTGGGAAACAAGCAAGAAGGGCCCAGCAGAGAACAAACGCTCGCGACGCAGGTTCCACAGGGACTGCTTGCTGCCGTGGAAAAGTGCAGATGTCGCTTGCGCAAGGAAGTTGCTCCTGACGACCAAATGCAAATGTAACACGGCAGTGTTGACCGATTTGCGATCAGGAACGACACCTGGCACCCGTCCTAGTCATCACGCAGATCACTGATATGCTGGACGATACGGTCGTCGGAATGGATCTACGACATCTTCGAAAACTAAAGACACGTTTATCTGGTAGACTACTGTAGCCCCGTAAACACCAGCTACAGCAGTAACAAATAGAAGTAGTTCCTTTTGTCTCGAGTTGCACCTTGACGTCGACACTGCACCCGACGGTGGGTAGCCTGTTTCCTGGCACGCCATTCCCAACGCCGCCGTGGCAGAAGGAATGCACCAGAGTTGTCTTGCCCGCTGCCATGGGCCCGACGACCAGGATTCTGGCGTGATGAGGGTCGAAGTTCTTGCCCGCGGATGCGTCCATCGAAGCTCCGCTTCTTCTGCGCACCTATGCCGCCTCTATGTCTCTCTCTCGCTCTCCCTCTCTGTCCCTTCCTTCACAAGAGGTTGTGGTAAGGATGGACGTGTCTCTGCTGATAAGCACCAGGAATGCGGCGGGTGGCGACAGCAGGCGCTAGATGCGAACCGAGCATGCTGTGTCTCTGGAACATATCTGGACAACAATGGCACGGTAGCAGTGCAGCAGTGCTATACACACGATCAATTTTCTTGGCGACAACGACTGTCGAGATTTCACGCGGCAATCAGCACAGAGCACACTCGCGGTCACCTACCTCGAGAGAAAGAAAAAGCGAAAGAGAGAGAGAGAGATAGGAAACGCAGATGATCCAATGCACGGCTGGGGTGTGTGAACAGTGCAGAGTGCGCGCAGCATTCCACAGCAGCAGGCAAACAAGGCAGCACAGAACACCGTACCAACGAGCGCATAGCGCATCGTGCCCGGCCGGCCGAGAGAGAACCACATGGTTCGAAAAGAGAACCAGCGAAAAAGCGGTGGAACTGCGCGACTGCTCGCCAGTCCCTTGCTCACACACTCCACATTACGCTACGCTGTTCAGTGAACGTATCATGGCGGCAAGGCTGCTTCTTTCCCTCTGCACGGCCTTGATGCCGGTAGAAGCGTACACCTTTGTACCTCCTCGGGCATCTATGCCACCTGCGGCGGGGCGGAGGACAGCGGGCGTGGGCGGCGATGGTTGTGTTGGGATCAGGTCAGGGAACACGTCACCTGCTTACATCATGAACGGTATGCTTTTGGCTTTTGACCAATACTGGCCTACGCACAATGGGTGCAGCTGGATAGTCGCCGACGTTGCAGTAGATTTTCAGTGGGCTGAACATCCGAAATAATGCGGTAACCACTCACAAGGTTTTTCGACGGCAAGTTCTCTTCCAGCGGGTGAGCTTTGTGCGATGCCCATATGACGCATGCTCGAACAACGAGACACAGCAACAAGAGTCAGCGCAGACGCTCCTGCTGCTGCTGCCGTTGCTGCCACCGCTGCTGCCGTCACGACTTGCCGACTAGTATCACACTCTCAGGGTTGCCTATGGCTTGAATTGTAATTTACAGTCACCTGAGGATGTCTATCAAGTGTCGCTGTGCGCAGTCCTCGTTGTTGGTTTATTCGAACAGGGTTGAATTGTCACCCGCAACTAGAAGCAGCAAGAAGGGTATCATTTTGAGCACTGGCCGCTGTAAGAGCGCCGCACCCTAGTGCTCGCCTCTGAGCACGCCTTTGGTTGCAACAATGCTGCTCGTAGGATGCCTACCAGTCCCATGCAGCGGCTCACTGCTTCGCCGGCTGGTCCCTGCTGCGCTACAACCTGCTGCGCTAATAAGTATGCACCGTCATACCCAGCCGAGAGGAGTCTGTTCGCGAACGGAGATTCCATAGCTCAAGCCTCGACGTTGACCCTCAGCATTTTTTCATTTTTTCCCGCCAGCATTCATAAGTCTTGAGAGTGTGATTCGCTTGTTCGTCGTGTGCTCTTCATCGGGCATCGGGCGGGTGTGTATCTGTGCTAATTCGAAACCTAACCCTCGACTCGCGCGGTCTCAGACCGAGCAGAGGGGCAGCATTGCCTTCGTCGGCGTTCATCGGGCACGGAAGCTGCAGGTGCGGAACGCATACGGCAAGCAGGAGTTCGGTGGGCACGGGGACGAGGGGGGGGGGCTCCTTGCGGTGCCAAGCGGACGGCGGCGGCGGCGGCAAAGGGACCGCTCCCGCCGCGGCCAGCTGTACGGCCTCCTCCTCTCGAGAAGCCCCCATGTCACCGATGGGAGCAGCGACGACGCTGCTGCGACCACCGATGGCAGAGGATCGGGAGGTACCACAATCCCCTCCGGATATTTGTTTTACTCTTGGTGACAGGGTGGGGTGGAAGCTGGGTTGTGGGACGTTGCACTGAAGATTAGTACAAATGCACCTGTGATGATCCGGGAACCTCCTGGCATGAAACGCGCTACGCAATGAAGTGGGTCGGAAGCCGGAAAAGGTCACCCTTCATAAACCGCCAGCTCGGCTTCTTCGCACCTACCTCGCGTTGCGTTTGAAACAGCAGCCCAAATACGCTTGCTATCGTTGGTTGGCGTTATCGACGACGTCTTGGCGTTGCAATCACCGCCTTCCTTTTCCTTACCTCTTACTTGTAGTTGCCCCAGAAGACTGGTGTAGAATACCACGTACGATGTAGATGCCAACACCGGCTGAGGCGTCGTTCGGGAAGATTTATACTTCTATTGCAACATCCGACCCATGCCACGACACAACCACCCCGGCTCGCGGGGCGAACGAACCGGCCTCGCACGTCAATACACCGCTCAATCCACCGGCTGGAACCTGCCCGTACAAAGTCGGTACTAGTATTACCGCAGTACATGTAGATCCAGCACAACCGGCCGTTTGTCTTGCTTTTGCAGTTGGGGTCTCCTGGACATCCTTTTCTTGCTGTTGAAATTTAGGCTGCCCTAGGCTTTGCTTGTTCTCTCTTGAGGGTCGATTCCTCCTCGTTCGTCTGGTCTGCCTTTGTGATTCTCAGGCAGCAGGCGCGGCAGCAACAGGGAAGCCCGCCGTGGGCGGAGACGTGGACCTGTTCGCTCGAACCTGGGAGTCGCTGGACTTCGGCGTGGTGTTGGAGCGGCTGTCGAGGGAGTGCCGCACGGAGATGGGCCGCTCGCGGGCGCTGATACCAGATTTCAAGACCACTCTGGAGGAGGTACGTGAGAGGGAGAGAGAGTAATTAATAGATACATAGATAAAAGAGACAGAGACACAAGAGAGAGAAGACACACACACACACACACACACAGAGAGAGAGAGAGAGAGAGAGAGAGAGAGAGAGAGAGAGAGAGAGAGACAAGTGTTGGGTACGGATTTCAGACACCTCGTCGACCAAAATCACGGCCACAAGCCCACCTACGCCGGTGTTCTGGCGCTTCGCGGAGGCGTACTTTTGCCGTGTCTTCGCAACCTAACGCCCTCGATAAAGCCTCCAGAGCCAGCGGGCGTGGTCGGAGGCATGGTCAACAATGTTGTTGTGACCACAGCGCCAGACTATTGAGTGGGATACCTTTCACTAGAGGAGCGAGTTCTACTGTCAGAGTCAGGGACGCTCCTAAACACGTCTAGCTCCAGCTGCGCACGAGCTCCAATGACCACCGCTGGGAACTGGAGGGTGGAAGACAACGATACAACGAAGAAATGAAACCGACCGCGGGACATACAAAGCTAAAACAAACAGCAGGGTCCCAGGTGCTGTTGTAGGTAACCTGCACCTAATCGCTTGCGCGCATTTCGATGAAAAAAATAAAAAAAAAACACGACCGAAAAGGTGCACGAGCTGTACGAGCGAGTCAACGAGGTCCTCCTGCTGGCGGGCGACGCGGTGCCGCTCCGCGCCGGCATGGCGGTGGAGCCCCAGCTCGCCATCGCCGCGGCCGGCTCAACCCTGGAAGCGACCGAGATCGCCGCGGTAGCGTCGGCCCTGGAGGGCCTGTTCGAGCTCAGGGAGTTTTTCTGCGGGGCTATGGCCGACGCAAAGGTGGGTTCGAACGGGTAGGGGGATCCGGGTGCGAGTAGGGGGTTGGTTGCTCCTTGGTTCGGCGTGACCGTGATTGTTGGCACCGCGGCATCCTCCTCACGAAGCCGGAACAGGTTGATGCCGGATTTTCATGGCGTGGGCAAGTCCTAGGGGCGGGGGACAGGGGGGAGGGGGCAACGGGATTTGTTAGCTCGTTCTTGTTGGAGTTTGTGGCGCCCCACATTCTTGTCGTAAGAACGTGGTCTTACCCCAGCGGGCACACGATTAGTCATGACCCTCGAATAATATGGCTAGATCCAGTGGATGTCTGCAACACATCTTAGAATAACAGGGACACGATCGTTTCCACGATCGTTTCCCCTGTGCGGCACGCACAACCGGGGGGGTAGTCCTGTATCCCGCGTCTTCTGGTAGATTGTTTTCCCCCGCAAACTACTGTAAGTGTGATAAATGGATCGATCTACAGTATAATCCGTCTCTCGAGCCTCTCCGGAGGGCACATGCCCCGCCTACGGCTGCTTCAGCCCGCCCGTACGTACAAAACGGAAACGGTTCGGCGCTCCTCATTCTTCACGCACCCTCGTGCCACGAAAGCCGATCGACCACGCCGAGCACCACATTTATCACAACCCCCCCTCCCCCGTCAGTCTCCACCGAACCACGGCGCCCCGACGCGTGTTGTTGCGTCCATGACCCCCCCTCTCTCTGGCCCGCAACGTGCGTGTGCGTGTGTCTCCGTTTTTTGGTTGAAATTGCGGTCCGTTTTTACTTGAACAACTGCCGGCCATGCCAATTATAAAGGGTGCCGGTGGTATGGTGGATCGGTCCGGGAAGACTCCGCGGCTCGCGGCGGTGGCGGCGGAGATCAAGCTCGACGAGGGGCTTCTGGGGTTGCTGAGGGGGGCTTTCGACTCCCAGGGGGAGCTGTCGGCCCAGTAAGTGTGTGGATGAAAGTGTTTTTTTGTGTCTTGCACGTGCGATTGAAGATTGCAATATGAGGTAGGCGTTGGCGGCAGGAGGGTCGGTCTCGTGGTCCAGCGGTAGCTTGTACCGACGTGTGCTTGTGGGGTGTCATATCCCGCATGGCTGTCGTTCTCTCTAGGCGCTGCGATACGATCGGCGACCGCTATTCCCACGGGTTTCGTCCGGTGATGTTGTCCTCGAACCAGCAGTTTCTTCGGGCATTTTGTTTTTTCGAGACTGCAGAAGGTTGGGGAGGTTGTGCACCGCGTTAAGGTTCCGTGTAGTGAGTTGCCATGGAACGTTGCATACGACTAGTTTCACGTGTTATTCTGCATTTGACATTCATGCCACGAGATTCCGTGCGTACACGACGTCTTCCTTTCCGTTCTAAATTTTCGTGTGTATCAGTGCGTCGGAGGTTTGCACGTGCAAACACGACTTAGGGCAGTGGAACTCCCTACCGTTTCCTTGTGGTCAACGGTCTACCAACTAAGGCATGAAAAACATAAGTACCCCCCCCTTCTCATGTACTCCTTTCCCACTCTTTTGCTGCGGTGGGTCCTGTCGGCACGCAGGCGGTTTCCGGAGATCGGCCGGCTTCGCAGCAAGGCCGACTCCCTCCGGCAAGGCATCAAGTCGACCATGACCCGGCTCATGGCGGGAGGGGAGTTCTCCGGTATGCTGGCGGTGAGTGCCACGTCTTGTGGGGTTTGGGTGGGGGGCAGGATGCTGTTGCTGATACGAATCTCGTCGCTCTCTTGAACGTGTTTTTTTCCCGACACCTTCACTTTTTACATTTCTCCCACTACGCGGCACGCTCCTCCTCCTCCTCCTGCTGCTGATATTGCTTTCCCTACCCCTCCCAATTTTTGCATCTACTACTTCACGAAACGACATTGATTTTTGCGACGAAACAACAAAAAAAAAGGATGAGGGCCGCGAGGCGTACGTGTCGGAGATCGCCGGCCGCTTCGTCATCCCGGTCACGCCCACCTACAAGAGAACCGTGGGTATCGTGCACGACAGCTCCAGGACAGGAAAGACGCTCTACGTCGAGCCAACACAGGTAGGTGTGCGTGAAAGATGGACACGCTACAGCAAGTAGGCCATGACAACCTGCGGCGCGTTTTTTGTATTGTTTAGTGTACGTGGTTTGGTGTCTTTGTGCAGAGGATGTTTTGTTTTCATTCTGAGGCGAGGCAGTCAATCACCGCCACCCACCCATCCACCTGGTCGGGATGCGCGTTGCTTGTGTGTGTGCCCATATGGATGGATATGCGGACTGCTGTCTTTTTTTTCTTTCCTGGCAAGGGTTCGCGGGCCACTGCTTGTCGTTTTCGCGTCCGCACATGGATTTTTTTTTTTTCGTTAATCAACTATTCGTTACTCGCACGAAAAAAACAAGCGAAAGTACTGTATGAACATCCTTCGTGCTGCCCACGCTTAGGGTTGGTTCAAGATCGGAATTACCGTACCTTCGGGGTAGTCCACTTCCCGCTTGTGCTTTTTTAGTTCTTCTTCTCTTGTTATATTTTTCGGTCGAATCTTGTGTGAAAAACCGACGCCCTAGCTGGTGGACCGACAAGAAACAGGAGGGACTTCACAACGACACAAATCCTGCGTTGACTATGTTGTACCCACCCGGGAATGACCGACGCAAGAATGAGTTTGTCACGTTATTGGATGTTCTTCATTGCGACCACGGAAGGCGTTCGCGTCCTATTGACCGGTACGGACGCTAGCAAGGTACCGAGCGGAGACCGGAATGCTTGTTTTCTTAATTCTAAAGACGACAATTACCTGCCATCCTCCGGTCATCTGTTCACTCAGGTGGTGGGACCGACGAACGAGCTGGTGGAGGTGAAGCTCCAGCTAAAGGTCGAGACGCAGAGGATCCTCAGCCAGATGACCCTCAAGGCAAGCAAGTGGCTTGCCTCGCCACGGCAGATCACACGATAGACCACGTTGTTTCGGCGTTCGTGGAGAAAAAGCGGCAGGTGTTGGATGGTCGGAACTTGGCGGATTGCGAGAGATCGAAGTTGCACCAGGGAGGCGGGTGTGTGTACAGAGGGCGGGTCGGTCGGGATAAGGAATGTGAAGTACCTTGATACGCAGATCGAAGAACAATCATGTCGGTTTGCGCTTTGAACAAAAGACGAGTGGACCGCTATGTAAGAGAGGGTGAAGTATCTTGTCACACAGACGGAAGAACAACAATCAAGTCGTTTTTCGAGTTTGAATAGAAAGCGGCCAGTGGCCGCCATTGGGCACGTGCCCGCCACCCGAGGAAGGGTAAAACCGGCCTGGGGGCATACCCCTCCTCCATAGAATGGGTCGGCGGCTTTCTATCACCATATTTTTGATCGCCATCGACACAGTAACTATTACGACAAAGCGTTACAGGCAACGATGACCGCAATAAAACAAACATGCAGATCGCGGAGCACGAAGACGAGATCCTCCAGTCGCTGGCCGCGGCGGCCGAGGTTGACCTCGCTCTGGCTCGAGGACGGCTCGGCGCCAAGACGGGAGGCACCATACCCAAGGTATGGGGCAGTGGTGGTGACGGCGTTAACCGCTGTAGACCTGCGGTGTTGTCGAGGTGCAGGTGGCTACGTGGTCTATTTCACTCGGAAGTCGTGTCGCATTGGTCGGATTGTCCTAGAGACAAGCCTTCATCATCCTCGGTTATCTTTCTTTCTGCCACGCTTTGGTCGTCGCCGCCGTCACACCCGGGGAAAGTTGTCTGATTCATGTTCCATTCACATTCGTTCAACCACCCTCCGGTTCGTCTCCCCTTGGCTTTCGACTCTTCGAAATTCATCGGGCCGCAATCGCGTGGCGCCTCCCGGCTATGTGGGAAGCCTTGCAGGAGCTCCTGCCCCTTTTTTTCCCGCCACCGAAGCTGCGTGATTCTGTTCCTTTCGCGCATTTCACTCGCTCCGATGACCACCGCAACACGGTGGGAACGTTTTCCTCCAAACGTCTTGCTTGATCCTTGATGTCAACAACAGTAGTAGGAAAGTCTCGAAAACACCTGTGGCGAGCATTGGAGCTCCCAACAGCAGCAAATAACGGCATCACGCTTGGCTCTGTCTTTGGCTTGGGTGGGGGACCCGATGATGCGTTCTGTTCGCAGGTGATGAACGAGGGCACCATCAAGCTGGTGAACGCACGACACCCGGTCCTGCTTCTAAGGGGAAAAGCCCCGGTCGGCAACGACATGTCCCTCGACGCCTCCATGCAGGCGCTCATCTTGACAGGGCCCAACGCAGGTGACAAGCAAACTACGTTCTAGAAGTGAGAGCGGCAACGTAGGGAGGATAGAGCCTTGACAAGGCCCAACGCAGGTGACAGGTAAGCAATGGTTTGTTTGAGAGAGCGGAAAGTTAGGGATGATTGAATCTTGACAAGGCCGAACACAGGCGAGAAGCAAAACACATATTTTGTTAAACATGTTAGATAGAGCAACAAGTGAGGGACGGACGGGGAAAGAGCCTAGGCCAGCAGCGTTGAAAGGTTTCCATTGTTGTGAAAAGGCGGTAAGACGAAGGGTGTGTGTGTGCTTGCTCCGGTTCCGGGCGCGGCGGGGAGCGGCACGTGTCCGTGGACGCCTTGCTCAAGCGCGCGCTACCTGCCTCCCTCTTTTTCTTGACCCCCCCCCCCTTTTGCCCCCCCCTTCGGTGTTTGCCATCGGGGTTGGGTTTTCGTCGCTTGGCAACGACGTTGTAAAACAAGCCGCCCCCCCC